TCTGTGGTTAACAAAAAATTTAACTTATTGAATTTTCCTACTCATCTTGTTGTTGGTGTTGTTGTCGAAGAAAAGAAGAGGAAGAAAGATGTCACTGTTTGTAAGTACATCGGGAAAATAATATTCTCTATAGGATTTCCAGGGCTACTAAAAACTCATTTGGTCCGCCCTCAACATCATCTTCATCATCATAATCGTCATCATCATCAGCATCCTCATCAGCAGTAGCAGCAACAGCAACAGCAGCACCATCATCATTATTATCGTCATCATCATCACCACCACCACCACAACCACCATCATCATCTTCATCATCATTAGTATTAACATCGTCATCAACCAGGGAAGCAGGGAGAAAAGGAGGGAGAAAGGGCATAAGACAGGGAAGCTTTTTTACATCTATATTTTTAGCCACATTGAGATATACATTGAACGAACAGGCTATGTGCATTTGCATCGTTCTATTTCACCAAGGATCAGTTAATGTTTTGTAGACTTGCTGTTATGTGTGTGTATGTGTGTGTGTGTTTGTGTCAGTGATTCATTTGTTTCTACAACAACAGTAACAGGGTGAATACAAGGCTTAGAAGGGGTAGAAGGAGGGAGAGGTGAAGAAAGTGAAGAAAGGTGGAAAGAAATATAATTTATTGTTTTTTTTGTATGTGTATATTTATCACTAAAAATATTTATATATTTGTCAAATATTTATTTCGTTGTTATTGAATATTTTTCTATAATAATTGCTTTATCGATAATCGTGAAAATTGACTGCAAATTATGTACTTAATTGATTATAAACGTCAATATTTTGTTTACTCAATTATTATTTTCAACAAATTTTGTTGTCGCTATTGTCGTCGCTGTAAATTTGGTTTACAGGTAAAATTGATAATCTGTAAATTACAGGAAATTATGGCTGATGATCTGGCTGCGAAATTTGCTGAACATGAAATTACACCAAATATTATTCCAAATCCACCAAAACAATTGTTAAATGTAAGGAACTTTTTTCACTGATTTCTTCTTGTTGGTACTCTTTCTTTCTTTAGAAATGAAACTTCAGTTTTCTTAACTGTTTTATCTGTTTCATTAGAAACCATTTTTTTACCATCTATCTGCTTTTTTTTCAGAATAATCTCTTTTATAGTTCTTTAGAAATAAATGTTATACTGCTTCTGCATGAAGGTACTTTAGGAAATTTTATTAGGATTTTTTTGTTGTTTGTCAGTGACAATAAAACAGAAAGAGATTGGTAATGTTAATTTGATGATTTGCCGAGTCAACTGTTGTTTTACAAATGTTTTTGAATTTACTTCTTATATGTAATAGATTTTATTGACATTATTTGAATTATAATAAAACTGGATGAAGTGTTTCCACTTAAGCCTAACCTAAAACTGTTGTTTTTGTAGAAACATTTTTCTCTCTTTTGTTCATAATAAATTGTCTGAGTAAGCATCTGATATTTAGAGAATGCTAAGAAAAGATTCCTTTGAATATAAGTGAATGTGGAGTTGAATTCAGTCTTAAAAAATAGTAAAAACAGGTTCTTTGTGGTCGGTGAAATCTTGTGGTGGAAGGTACTTTTTTACAGAACAGATTTTTAAAAACTCTAATGTGTTACACATTAAAAAAAACTGTTGTAGTCTTAAAATCATATTAGAAGTAGAAGAGTATTTTTTTATCATTGAAAACTGTACTTTTTTTTCATAGTCCTTTTCCTCAAAACTTTTACTGGACAACCTTTGCAGTAGACAGTTAATATTTGGTTTATAAGCGGTGATGCTATTCTGTTGAATGGATCATCTGGTGGTAGTATCTTAGGATTATTTTTCCTATCTGAAAACAGCTAAAAACCGTTAGATATTTACAGTCTGATCGAAATCAGAAGTTACTCAGTAATTATTTTAAGTTTGGACAATTCTGCAGCAACGTTTTGTCTATAAAATTCTTCTGAAAGGCATTTTTTATTCAACAGTAACAACAAAAGGAAAAGTAGAAATTGAAATTTTCATCAACCATTTCAACAAATATTATTTTGCAGTATTTTTTCTAATTTTTTTTTTTTTTTTTT